TGGAGCTACCAGACACTCTCCCATCCAGGCATTGGTCATTTCTAAATTCAGTATATTAGATGCTTTTAGACCAGGAATAGCAAAATACAAAATTTGAAGTACACACCTGTTTCAACGTGAACATCCAGCTTCTGAGACGCATTAACAAAATCCAAGTGAAGCTGTTTAAATTTAAAACTAAAAGTGTAGAAAGTTGCAGGTCTCAGATCTGTCCATTCATAGAAGACCTCATTATGCTTAAACATCCGAGAAATGTTATTACATGAAATTTCAACAGAAAAATCGTTAGCTAGAATATTCCAGCTAAACAATGCACTAGTACTCGTCACGTGTGTTTTGACAATGTCTGAAATTCCACCTGCAAACCAAATTAGAAAATTTTATCAGATTAATAGGGGGAAAATATTCACACAATTAAAAAAATTTTTTTACCAAAGTAATAGATTGGGGTGTGTGAGAGACTGTATCTGTTCAATATCAACTTGGCTATTATAAAATATTAAATGTAATCATATACCTTTTCCATCTTAGTCTGTGATTATGCTAAAAGTAAGTCCTACATTGTTGTACAGGCCCCCTCCCAGCTAGGCACGTCCAATATGTGTGCGACCGTGTATACGAGCATCAGACCAAACCTGGAAGTGACCCAGAAACAGCATAAAGATGTCACTAAAACATCATTAAAGGGGCGGAGAAGGCTGTTTGCAGGCTTTTTCAATGGGTTTCAATTATATGCGATTTCACCAAAGTGTGTGGTGTCTCGGAATGTAACCCCCTCATAAACGGAGTCTGCCTGCACTTACGTGTCTTGAATGATTTTGCATGTAGAATTTTCCCATTCTTCAGTGACTGCACCATCACATCATATTTCTTCCCTTCTTCAAGCAGAATTGTAACATTTTGTGCTTTTAGTTGAGTTGTGGAAACACTTTTCACATTCTGCAATTTAAAAGACTGCTATTTTATTTTAAGAATTAATATTGCACTGTATCTGAGGCAGTAGTTCTAAATACAGTATTAATTAAAGAGCATCTCATCCTCCCCTCCCTCAAGTTCCATCTTCCATGAGAAAAAGGTCATTTTCTATTGCAGCTCTCAAATTCTGGCATGCCTTTCCATGCATATATGCCTCCCACCCTGTAATCTTTCTGCAACAATGTTTCCTCCCTCTTGCCTGTATTATTACAGTGGTACCTCAGGTTAAGAACTTACCGGTAATTCATTCTGGAGGTCCGTTCTTAACCTGAAACTGTTCTCAACCTGAGGTAACACTTTAGCTAAGGGGGCCTCCTGCTGCTGCCATGCTGCTGGTGTGCAATTTCTGTTCTCATTCTGAAGCAAAGTTCTTAACCCGAGGTACTATTTTGGGGTTAGCGGAGTCTGTAACCTGAAGCGTCTGTAACCTGAAGCATCTGTAACCCGAGGTACCACTGTACAGGCTTTTTGTTTTGCTGACTGGTTTTTGTTTTTATTGTAGTTTCAATTTCTTTTATGGTTTTGTTGTTTATCACAAGCATCCAGGTTATAATCATTCAAATGGCATTTCTATTGGAATGGTCTATAATTAAAAGAGCTATAGAGAGTCCAGCAAGTGCAGCAACAAACTCATTTACTATTACATTCAGGAGAAATAAAGGTCAGATTGCCTAATACTATGTGGATTGGAAGGGTCCTTATAACATCTTCCCTGTTTGGACTTGCTTTTTTCCAACCTATAGGATTACATAAATTTTATTTTCAAAGGTTAACCATTTTCTCTTAAACTTTCTTTAGACAACCAAAACACCCTTGCTAATATTATTTTTGTAAGAAAACATGTTCAACCAAATCCTGCGATCAAATCAAATTATTGTAACTGCTGAAAGCATGTGATGCTAAGCATACAGCCTACTTTTTGAGCCAAGTCATCAGTGAGGTGGTATGTTACAACATAAAAATCTGGATTCCTCCCTTTTGGAAACTCTGACCACTCCAAGAAAACAGCTCTAGATGGCTTCTTTACTTGACCACACTTCAGGCCACCAGATATCTGCAATGCAAAGATGAAGTATATGTCAAACGATAATCAACTGCATATTTTGGGGAAAACAATATATAGTTGCTACATATCACTTAGCAGTCATCAAAGCTAATATCTACCTAGCTTCATATTATGAACTTATCTAGATTGTAATGCTCCACTGCTTTAAACTGCCACCTTACCAAGAGGTTCTTCTTTGACTAGGAAAGTAAACTAAACTTCTGGGCATGTGCAAATCTGCAAGGATCTTTGGGGATACACAACTTTCAAGCATTCATAAGCATTTAGTATAGACACCCTGAAAATGGCACATTGTGGGACTTAGATCTGCATGCTCAGGACATCATCCCAGAAGCAAGGAGATCTTACATGAGGGCACTTGATGACCTTTTTGAGTTGCTTTAAAAGGATACTGTTTGCCAAATGGTTTGCTATGAAGCTTAGACTGGGATAATGCAGACAATGTCTGCATTCAGAAAATCTTTAAATTCTCCTTATCTTTCCCTTTATGTGTGCAGTTTAACAAATCAAACCGTAGTTTGTTGTCATTCATGAAGCAATTTGTTATTGTAATTGAAACATCAAAGAATAGCTAACTTTATGCAAACATGACAAATATTGCTAGATAAAACAGAGCTCATGATGTCTTACCTGAAATGCGCACTGTATAACAATCAGTAACCAAACAGCTTTGTCCATAGAGCGGGATTGCTTTGGCTCTCAGATTTTGGTTTGGGTCAGAATCCCAATAGCTAAATTATGGTTGCATAAATGTAGAAATATAAGATAATTAATATAGCAGCCCCCACTTGCTTTCATTTCTGTTGCATTGCTTTTTTTCATCTACTGCATTGTTATTAGCTAAGCATAAAAGAGGAGAGCGCAAAATATGGTCTGAAGCTCAACATCAAAAAAACGAAGATCATGCCCACTGGGCCCATCACCTCCTGGCAAATAGAAGGGGAAGAAATGGAGGCAGTGAGAGATTTTACTTTCTTGGGCTCCATGATCACTGCAGATGGTGACAGCAGTCACGAAATTAAAAGACACCTGCTCCTTGGGAGAAAGGCAATGGTAAACTAGACAGCATCTTAAAAAGCAGAGACATCACCTTGCCAACAAAGGTCCGTATAGTTAAAGCCATGGTTTTCCCAGTAGTGATGTATGGAAGTGAGAGCTGGACCATAAAGAAGGCTGATCACTGAAGAATTGATGCTTTTGAATTATGGTGCTGGAGGAGACTCTTGAGAGTCCCATGGACTGCAAGAAGATCAGACGCATCCATTCTTAAGGAAACTAGCCCTGAGTGCTCACTGGAAGGACAGATCCTGAAGCTGAGGCTCCAATACTTTGGCCACCTCATGAGAAGAGAAGACTCCCTGGAAAAGACTCTGATGTTGGGAAAGATTGAGGGCACAAGGAGAAGGGGACGACAGAGGACAAGATGGTTGGACAGTGTTCTCGAAGCTACAAACATGAGTCTGACCAAACTGCGGGAGGCAGTGGAAGACAGGAGTGCCTGGCGTGCTCTGGTCCATGGGGTCACGAAGAGTCGGACACGACTAAACAACAACAACAACAACAAGCAAAGGTAGCCAGGATTTGTGGGGGGGGGGAGGCTTCTGTTAGGAGGGGCAGGACCTCAGATTTGTATTGATTTTGATTGATTTTGGGGGGAAACTGCCTCCCCCCCCGCCCCTTGACTACGCCCATGATGCTAAGCTTTCAGTTATATACACTTGCCAGAAAAAAGAAGCAACCTTTCTGCCTTACCGCGAGAAGTGGGGGGTGTGTGTGTTTAGAATAGTTTGTTGTCCAGTCCATTTAGTTCTCACATGCGCTTTTACGCACTAAGAGGGAGGTGGGGAAGGAAGCCCCCAAACGCACGTGCGAAAGAAACCTCCCTCCCTTTCCTCCCCGACGCCCTTTTCAAATCTTCGCGCTCCCTCTCCCAAAGCGCAGAACCCACCTGCTGGCAAAGGAAAGGAAAGACCGCCTTCGGCGAGCAGCCGCCGTCTTCTCCTGCGTGGCCAGCTCTTCCTTGGCGCGCGTGCTTTCTGGTCCCCGTGTCCAATTACTTCTGGCGACTCTCGCCTTTTTCCCTTCTTTAGGCTGCTGCGGGGGCTGCGTGGGAGGGGAGGTCTCCATGGAAACTTGAGGAGGGGAGGAAAGGAAGGCGAGGCAGCAGGGGGAGGCTTTGACACCTTCGTTCTGAGGTCCATAGGAACGTGCGCTCTCACCCCCCCCCCTTTAAAAAACTTTGTCTTAAGAATCCAATTTGAATCCTGAGCTCCAAACTGCATTTGGAATTAGACAAATCCGGATAGCTCTAAACGCTCAGTTTATTTTTAAAGAAGGAGGGGAATTCTGTTTGGGGGGGAGGGGGGTAGGATTGGGGTTTTTTAAGATTCAGGAGATTTGCATTAATTACAATGCAGACGACCCAGCAAAGCCTTAAGACTGGAGGACCCACAAGGCACACAATGGCCCAAGGGTCGTGGAGAAAAGGAAATGGAAGCTTGAAATCCATTTCTCTTCAGAGGAGAAATACCTGAAGGGCCGGAAGAGGAGGGCTGGATTTGCATGACTTTTGTAAATAATAATAATAATAATAATAATAATAAATCCCCCCAAATTTAATCAAACTTACCAATTATATAGTTACATTCACCAGAAGCCTAAAGCTCCAGATCACCCTGCAAGAAATTTGTTTCCATTTTTGTGGACAGGTGTTCATGGACATTACGGCCTCACACTGAAAAGGACAGTGGAAATGGCATGCTGTCATCACTCAAGGATTCAAACTGAGTTGACCAAAGGTCTATCCAATCTGGATGAAAAGCCCAACCCTAGAGCATCTGAACTAGCCCAAAGTCGTTTCAGGGGGAAAGGTGGGGTATTAGAAAAATAGAATTGTAGACTTGGGAGGCACCACAAGGGTCATTCTAGTCCATCTCCCTGCAGTGCAAGATATATTTTGTAATTATTTGCTCAAAACGGAGCTCAAACCTATGACCCTGAGATTAAGGGTCTCATGCTCTACAGACCGAGCTATTTTATTATTTATTACATTTCTATACTGGCCTTCATACCCGGATGGATGTGTTCTGCCACCTCTGTCATGTGCTTTGAACTAGCAGTTACTGGGAATTGCAGTGCTGTTTCACTCATGCTGCTTGTGGACTCCCCATAGGGATCTGGTTGATCTCTATGAGCATAGAGTGTTGGGCTAGATAGGCCTTTGACCTGATCTGTCAGGGCTCTTGTTAGGTTCCCAAATCTAGTAAAGGTAAAGGTAAAGGGACCCCTGACAATTAGGTCCAGTCATGACCGACTCTGGGGTTGCGGTGCTCATCTCGCCCTATTGGCCAAGGGAGCCGGCGTACAGCTTCCGGGTCATGTGGCCAGCATGACTAAGCCACTTCTGGCAAACCAGAGCAGCCCACGGAAATGCCGTTTACCTTCCTGCCGGAGCTGTACCTATTTATCTACTTGCACTTTGACATGTTTTCGAACTGCTAGGTTGGCAGGAGCAGGGACCGAGCAACGGGAGCTCACCCCGTCGCAGGGATTCAAACAGCCGACCTTCTGATTAGCAAGTCCTAGGCTCTGTGGTTTAACCCACAGCGCCACCCGCGTCCCTCATTTCCAAGTCTAGTCTAAGCTTTTATCAAAACACTGAACATCTCAAAGGAAAGGGGCAAACTAACTGTAAAGGGGGTATTTACACATTAAAAACTAAGTTTATAAACCTCTTTATAGCCTCCTGCAATGTTTTGAAATTACCTGTGCAGATCATTCCAAAACCTGATAATTCTGTTTTAAAATATGGAGATAAAGCAAATCACGATGGTGAGAGTTGAAATTCTAGACCCAGTTGACAAATTAACTACAGGTCTGGATAGAGCATCCACCTGAGAGTTCTTAAATAACTCAGATGTGAAATTGCCAGTCTAATGACAAAAATATGCAACTCGGCCTTAAGATCAGTTGGCACATTTAACACAATTTTTAAACAAGAGAGCTAGTGGGGATTCAGGAAATAACAAGTCAGTTTGTCCTTGGAAAACTGGCGGAAATCATGTAAGACTTGCTGAAGCAGAACTAGCATGATTTGTGGAGTTAAATCCTCTCGCTAACCTTTTAGATTTCTTTGAATGTGTCAAGAAGCATAGAAAGAGATTACAGTGGTACCTCAGGTTACATACGCTTCAGGTTACATATGCTTCAGGTTACAGACTCTGCTAACCCAGAAATATTGCTTCAGGTTAAGAACTTTGCTTCACGGTGAGAACAGAAATTGTGCTCCGGCGGAGCGGCTGCAGCAGGAGGCCCCATTAGCTAAAGTGGTGCTTCAGGTTAAGAACAGTTTCAGGTTAAGTACGGACCTCAGAACGAATTAAGTACTTAACCTGAGGTACCACTGTATCTAGTTGGCATGGTGCTCTTGGACTTTTAAAAAAACTTCTGATGAAGTCTCAGCAAAGACTCCTAAAGCTTAGCATAAGAGGACAGGTCAGTAACTCGTTAAGGAACAGGAAGCAGATAGGAAGGAAATGAAAGCTCTCTGAATGGAGATGTAGAAAGTGGAGTCCCTGTCCCTTTTAACTTGTTCATAATTCATCTAGAGTTGAACTAAATGGGCTTCCAGTGTTATCTGGCTGGGATCTTCTTCTGTTCCTAAGTTTTAAGAACAATGACAAAGTAAATGTGATACAATGTCTTAATATCAAACAGCTCCCTGCACCTGAAACGAACTCTGCTTTACTGTAGAAATAAAAAAAAAACTATGTTGCTGTTTGAATACATTTCAGTGCAATTATTTAACATTTGGTCTCAATTTGTTGCATACAATTCAGATATATCGAAAACTGTGTTTATGTTGCAGGAAGTAATATTGTATCTGCGTCTATTTGTAGGATTTCTTGCATTGAGGCCACGGCCGTATTAGATGATTGGTGTAATACTGATGACACAGCGTATAAGTAAGTTTTTAAAGGAAGATAAGCATAGATACGGCTTTCTTGTGCAACAGCACTTTTCCTCCGTATAATGGGGGTCACATTCACTGATCATCTAGAGTGCGAAACAGATACATTATAACTTTTGCCAAGGGTCAACTTTAAGTGAGGGCCAGTCTTCAATAATCAGCATAAATACTCCTTTAAAAACAAAGCAACTTATTTTTGCTTGGGTGGTGCATTTTTTTTATCTTAATTATGGAGATACTCCTTAAATAAAAATATTTTTGTTTTCCACTGCTTCTAGTGAACATTGTGAGTTAATTAAAAATATTCACAAAGTAAAACCAGGGGGCAAGCTACAGGTTACACCAGGAATGGGGAACATTTTTTTCTGTTGGGAGCTTTGAGCAGAGTCAGAGCCAAAAGTCAGAGTTTGCATACTGCAGGACTGCAAAGCACCTCCTTCTTCCCTCTCTAGCTCTGTCTCTCAGTCTCTCTCTCATACACACAAACACAGTGGAATAATTCATAGTAATGTAAGTGTCTTTTAAAATATATTTATTTACTTAATAGGATATGTAACAAAAGCACGGTATTCAGAAGTTGCAGGTAGGTCAACAATTCAATAATGCCCCATGGTTCTCAAGATGTGCTTAGATCAGCAGATTTGTATCTGTAAATAGTTTTGCACAGTCCAGAGTTTCACATGCGTTTATCTCAATTTGCTCTAACCCAAATCTAATATGCATCATCGGATGCGGAACACCTCTTTCTCATGACTGCACTAAGATTTAATATGATGAGGTGCTTGTTTGAAATCCTCAGATTGGTTTTAATACAGAGTGAGGAGCTTTCAGATTCTACATAAGGCACTAATTCCAGAAGTAACTATGCTCTTTGACTTTCATTATAATGCACATTTTTAAATTCTCCTGATACTATTGTCAAAGTATCGGGCAATATACAGGTTATTCCAAAGCTGTAGTCTTTATTGCAGAACAATCACATATATTTATAACAAAAAGTTATCAAATATTTTCATCAAAATAGTAATATAATATCTTTAAATTGTTTAAATAATAATAGCAGTCCTCCCAAAGTAAAGGTGCATTTTCTTCTTTAACAGAAGTATACATATGTTTTGCATCACTTTTTAATCCAAGGGACATATCACAAACACCTGTAGCTCTTTTTAAAACCCCGTAAATATCAAATCATGTCAGCAGTTAGTAGTTTTCAGATACACTTTAACAGTAGCCACAAGATTCTGGGGATGTTCAAAAGGAACACAAAAAATGTAAAGTGTGCTGGAAGATAGAAAACAAACAGAAAGACACAACTGAAACAAGGAATACCAGTTTGCCAGTAATTTATTGCAAACATTTTACTGCACAGTGTAACATTTACAATAATTGTAAGTATAAATGAGTGATACGAATAGACATGCTAATAAGCTACAAAATGTTTCCAGTTATCATTAGGGATGTGTTTATGATTAACATTGTTTATCATGAACTGATTAATTCACACATCTAAATGAAGTTAAGTCGATGACTAAAATGAACTAATTCTTGCATATATGTTAACATGTACAATTTTGCTGTAGCATTAAAACACTGAATACTATCAATTTTAATATATTTATGAAACATGAAAAATATGTGTATATATTAATAAGATATTTATTAAATCTGAATACAATAATAAACATACAATAGCCTGTTTGGTTATGGTCTTCCGTAAGATTCCAGACAATCTTAATTCCACTGGCATGAACAGTCTGTGGGCTCCTGGATGACATACAAGATTTCAGTGCCATTTCCTGAGCAGTAGAGTGGCACGGTGAGATTCTGCACTCCGTTTTCACGACAGCATTTACAGAATCTTAAATGGCTATTAATGTTGATATTAAAAATTGTGGCAGATGGACATTTTCCATCACAAGAAGCCACATTAATCTGTTAAGAGAGACATAAAGAAGCAAGAGATCATCCGTTACTTCATGCTTTGGGGTGAGGAGGAAGGAAGCAATTTTTGTGTGTGAATGTCCACTTTGTGCACACCTCATCTAATGACTTCACAGGGCTGCTTCCCAAAAAGATAACATCATCTGTAGGTAACTAGTTAGCCCTGGTTGCTACAGGCTGTTTTCAGAGCTGAATGGGGAAGTTACACTCCCCACTTCTCACTTCACAGGAAAGATAGAATCACAGAATTGTAGAGTTGGAATAGATCCCTCAACTAAAGCGTAAGAGGCTCAGAGTCCAACTCCTTACAAGTACACATGTGCCCTCAAGCAAACATCTGTTGTGCCTCCAATCTAAGGCAAACACAAATGAGAGAGAAAGAGAAGGTGATTTGTGCCCAGCAGGTCTCTGCTCAGCAATCTGACAGGGTATTGTCTCCATTCACGTTTCAAAACATTTATCTAAAGCATTTGTTCAAGCCAAACATGGAGATACATCCATTCCCAGGAGATGCGGAAGAAAGAAGAGCTTAAAGAACTCGCCTCACATGCCAAATTTTCCATAAAAATATGCACCCTGCTCCGATAGTTTCATTTATCTGTAAAAATTAACTCATGTAACTTTAAAAATGAATTCAGCCCAATCCTAACCTTTGTACTGGTTAAGCTGCAACTGCAAATGTACCTCTATAACCTCGGTATATCATCTATACGTCAAAAACATTGTAATTAATATATACATATAGAAATGAACACCCCCCCCCCTTAAGGGTGTGAAGATGTAATACCTCTGTTTTGTGAGACAGTACAGTAAATGATTTATTGTATATACTTACATGGAAATATATTATCTGATATAATGGTACCTCACAAAACAGAGGTATTATATCTTGATCTCTTAAAGAGATTTTATTCTGTATGACATCAAAGGCATACCCGTTGTGAGAAGACAAAGCGGGGGTGTTTGTTTTTAAAGCACATTATGTGCATCTGTTATATATTGGCATACTTCGTTTAGGAGGACATTTAATGATAGACGTCAGTGCTTTTGCCTGGTGTCAGCAATTACGTTGTGTACAGTTTATCTGGAGTCTGAACAGAAGAGCTCAGCATTTCTCTCAGGGAAGAGGC